ACTTAGAAGAACCCACCACACTTTGCTCTTCCTCTCCATGTCTCTTTGCTGACAACTTTCCTCAGGTGGGCCATCTACTCTCAGCACCATGCTGATTTAATTGAGCTGGTGTTAAGTTGCACACCAGTTTTTAGTCCATAACACACTCATTGTAGCAAAAACAGTCATGTACTACCATTGGCCCTTTTGAATTCCCTCCCCATCATGAATCATTTGAAGCTCTTCTGTAGAGTATCTTAGTTTTAAATCAAGACCTTGGAAAGGAACTATGGATAAATCTACTGATGGGCCAGAATTCTTTTGGAAAACAGCTTATTTGGAGTGGAATCTGCCTTAGAATTTCCAGGGAAGCAGGGTCCATGGAAGCTTGATGTCCTTTGCAATGGACAACTGCTAACTCATTTGTGAGATCTTCTGCCTTCAGAAGTGTGAGGATCTTTGGCCCATGTTTTATTGGACATTGGTGACTAGTCAAAGTCCTCCTTCTTTCTAAATGGCTGCATGTGCATCAGTTAACCTGAAAGGCATACCTGAAGTTAATATACACATTGACCCTTACCCTGGGCAAGTTGGAAAGCTCTTTTGGGCAGAAGTCCCAGGAGGAAGGATTCTTACTTTAATAACCTGTGTGGGGCTCTGACATAATCTGCCTTCCTTATGCCATACTTAATGAAACTACTGCCATCAGTGAATCATGTGCTAGCCGGCCCTGTTAATGACTAGTCCCACAGGCTGGAACAGCTGGCATAATTCTGTTCAGCTTCATGTTCTATCTTTTGGTAGGTTGGGAGGAGCACTAGGGTTTAAAATAGTGCAAGACTGAAGAGAGACATCTGTGGAGAATGGCTTGATATTTATTGAACTTTTGTCCAATCATTCGCAAATGTTCCTTTAGTTCTAACAGAGCCTTAAAACTTAATGTCGAGTTAGAACTAAAAACCTTTGTCATAATGTTATCTTAGAAGCTTTTTGGACTAAAAGTGCTATAGCCACTATTTCTCACAGGCAGGTAGGCCAGTGCAGTGATAGTCCATCTGGTTGCTTGGAAAAGTAAGCAAGAGGTCAGTTTTCCTAGCACAGACATTGAGTTAGTATTCCCATGGCTACACCCTGTCTCTCAGCCACAAAGAGAGAAAAAGGCTTAGGTAAGTCAGGGATTCCTAATTCCGGGTCCTGTATCAAGGCCTGTTTTAAGGCCTCAAGAGCTTTTTGAGTAGCTGCTGTCATTTTAATGGTTTAGTTTCTGGTCCTCAAGTTGCCGCACATAGTGGTGTTTGGCTGTTACTTCTATGCAGCAGAAGCCTGCCATTCCTAAAAAAGCCCTCAGTTTCTGTTTGGACTCTGGAGAACCCAAACAGTAAATGACCTCTCTTCTCCTTGAGGACAGTTGTGTTTGTCCTGGAGTTAAAGTATATTTCAGATAAGTCACCTTTTGTTGAGAAATCTGGGCCTTGTGGTAGGTCACTTTATAACCCAGTTTTGTTAGAAAATTGAGTCTTAATGCTGTTCTTATCAGATAACTCTTTAGTGGGGCTATAAATGAGGTCATCTACATACTATAATGAGCCTCACTTTTTGAATTTTAGGTCTCTCAGGTCTTGAGTTAAAGCCCATGCAAAGAAATAGGAGCTATCTGTAAAGCCCTAAGACAAGGCAGTCCAAGTAGTCTGTTAGTAAAGTCTTGTTTGGTGATCTTCCCATTCAAATGTGGACAAATATTGGGAGCTGGGATCCACAGGGATAGAAAAGAAGGCATCTTTAAGACCAAGGACAGAGAATTATTTAGTGTGTCCTGGGATTCAGGTTAACTGGGTATATGAGTCTGCTACAGTGGGTGAATGGGTGCCACTTTGATGGCTCTGAGATCTTATGCCAAGTGATTTTCTCTTGATGACTACTGGTAAAATGGGTGGATTGAACAGGGATTGGCATGTCATCAGTAATCCCATCATAAAAAAATATATCAATGTTGGGCTTTAATCCCAGTTTAGCTACTTTCTAAAGGAAATACTGTCTTCTGTAAAATATACATTAGAGTTCATTAGCTGAATGAATATAGGAGTGGCTGTGATAGCCCTCCTTGGGGGGCATCATACTATTCTTGAGGATCTACTGTTGGCAGGGACATCAGGCTCTGTGGAGTCAGACTGGCTGCATTCCTAGCAGCTAGAACATGGGTTTCCAGAGGTAGAGTATCAGAGTGGCCCTGAATAGGAAGAGTATATCTCTTCCCATCATCAGTATGAGGTGGCACTCTAGTATCACATAAAGGCAGCTTGGAAAAGGAAATCTTTCAAAGGGCAGTTTAGAGTAAGAGTAAAGAAAGCTGCCTGGTTAACTCTCTCATGGCCCATGACGACTTTAAAATGAGAAGAAAGCTCATCCCGAGAAGAAATTAAAACTGAGTAAGCCATGCCAGTATGATAGAGGAATATAATTTGTTTGACCACTGCATCTAAAGTTACCCAAAGCTCCTGTGAATGAATCATGATAGTCCTGTGCAGGAGCTGTGCAGGCTGCCTCATGCACCATCACCACTCACGGTCCAGGTATTCTTCCCTCTGCTCCTGGCTCGCTTTACCATACATTACAGTTGAATAAGCCAATAACAGTAGAGGTCCTTGTGTATAATGACATAATAATTGTCAAGTATACACCCAATAGTAAATAGTAAGCAGTTGTTTATTAAAGATCATAAAGATAACAACAACAACCAAAAAAGGGAATTAACAACTGAGGCTTTTAGAATGTAAAGGTCAGACACCTTTGGTTTTAGGTTCCTCCCACTGAATCTCCCTTGCTGCCAGTCTCCTGGAGGCCTGCTATGAGTCTTCAGACTCCAGCCTGGGCCACATAGTGAGTGCAAGGCCAGTCTGAACTACACAGTGAAACACTGTCTCAAAAAACAAACAAACAAACAAACAAAACCATAGACCAATAGAATAAGATACAATTCCATAGGGACCAAAAGCATACACTGGATAAAGATAGCCTCTTTAACAAATAGTGCTGGGGAAATGTTATCCATATACAGAAGAATAAAACTAGACCTGTATTAAATCATGGGCCAGGTATGGTGGTGCATACTTGTAATCCCAGTACTCAAGAGGCTGAAGCAGAAGGATCGTTGTGAGTTCAAGACTAGGCTGGACTACATGGTGAGTTCAAAGCCAACCTGAACTACACAGTAAGACCTTGTCTCAAAAAAAAAAAATATCCAGGCAGGCATGGTGGCACATGCCTGTAATTGCAAGTCTTGGGAGGCTGAGGCTGGAGGATTGGCACACGTTCAAGGCTAGCCTGAATTACCTGGTAAGTTCAAGGCCAGTCTGAACTACATAGTGATACCATGTCTCAAAAAACGACAGACAAACAAACAAAAAATCAAATCAAAGTGGACCAAAAACCCTATATATAAAATCAGAAACACTGAATCTGCTAGAAGATAACATAGGGGAAACACTTGATACCATAGACACAGGCAACAACCCTAGGCTCAGCTCTGTGTTGGAATCTCTCCCCCGACCTGACTTCACCTCCTTCTCACAGTGTGCTGTATTTTGTTTGTCAGACTAAGGAGAAATCAGCCCTACTCCCATGCCTTCTTCTGTTCATACCATGGAAAACAGGTCTGTGTCCTCATCCTCATCCCCTGACTTCAAATTTGCAATACAGGGAGGTTCTACCCGGTCTTCTTTCCTCCATAGTAACCACCAGGAATTCCTCCTCTGCTCCCGTGATGACAAGTAGAGGGAAACGGAGAGCCCTGTCCTTCCCTCGGAGGAGGAATCTGAAGCTATAAAGGGTGTCATGGCCTCTCAACAGACCTTTTCTGAGCACCAACCCCAATGCCACACTCAGTGGTGGACCCTAGAGTCACCGCAGGAACAAGCCACATAGGCTTCCTCTGCCCTTGAACAACTTAGGTTTTATTGAGGAGACGGATGATAAGAAAACAAATCAGCCAATTAATAACTGCAGGTGGCTATGAAGAAAATAATGAAGAGGCTATGATGAGGTGTCTGGGGAGAGGAGCACTGTGAACAATTCTGCTGTTATCATTCAAGTACAAGTCTTTGTTGGAGCACTGTCTTCAGAGAGTGGGCTTAAGTCTATGTTTAACTCATTCTGCAGCCACCAAATTAGTGCTAATGTATAGAAATACAAATGCTGCTGGGTATAGTGGTACACGCCTATAATCCCAGAATTTGGGAGGCTGAGGCAGGAGGCAAGTTCAAGGCCAGTCTGGGCTACACAGTGAGTTCAAGGCAAACCTGAGCTACCTAGCAAGACCTTGACTCAGAAAAAAAAAATTTTTTTTAGCTGTAGATTTTCATAAACGACCTTTATCATTTTAAGGAAATTGTCTTCCATTCATGTTTTGATCAATGTTTTAAATCATGAAAGGATATTAGATATTTGTTAAATTCTTTTCTGTACCAGTTGAGATGATTATGTGAGAAATTTTCCTTTTTAAATTGTTACACTGATTTTCTTGTTTTCGAACCACTCTTAGACAATCCTGAAATAAATCTCACTTGGTCATGGTATATAATCTTTTTAACACATTGTTGGATTCTGTTTGCTAGTATATTTTCGAGGGTTTTTATATTTACATTCATTTTTCATAATGATTTATAGTTTCATTTCCTCATGATATCTTTGTGTGGCTTTGGTATCAGGTCTCACAGAATAAGAAGTGTTTCCTCCTTCAATTATTTGGGAAGGATTGGTATAAACTTTTATATGCTTAATAGAATTTATCAGTGAAGCCATCAACTCTTGGGCCTTTCTTTGTTGTAAGACTTTTAATTACTAAGTCAATAACCTATTTATTATGTCTTACGATTCTCTACTTTTTTCTTCTTTCTTTAAAGTCAATCTTTTTTCTTCTTTCTTTAAAGAGAATAAAAACAAAAAAATGTATAGGACTTCAAAACAACATGGTAGGAAATTAACAATGGTTATTATATTGCATATTGCTATTTTCTTTTTTTTTTTTTAATATGGAACGCTTCACGAATTTGCATGTCATCCTTGCGCAGGGGCCATGCTAATCTTCTCTGTATCGTTCCACATATTGCTATTTTCAAAATGATTGCTAAGATTACCAGATACAGGCATGCAAAATTGATCAATGTTGATTGAACAATGTAAGCACTAATTGTTCCTCTCCCTTTAAGCAGCTTCTTCTCTTTTCACAATATCTAATGTACTTTTTTAATCTTATTTACTCATTCAGTTTCTTATACTAGGGAGACAATAAAACATTTACACATGTGAGACTCTTCAGTCAACCTTGATAAAATATGTTTCTACAGATTTCTCCATTTCATTTAGGTCACCTAATTTCTTGGCATGCAATTGTTCATAGTATCATCTTTGTGTGTGTGTGTGTGTGTGTGTGTGCGCGTGTGTGTGTGTGTGTGTGTGTGGTGCTGGGGATTGAACCGAGGGCCTTGTACATGCAAGGCAAGAGCTCTACCACTGAACCACAAACGTAGCCCTAGCCCTAAAGTATCTTCCTATAATTCTTATTTCTGCAAAGTCAGTAGTACTGCTATTGTTTTCACCTCTGATTTTAGTAATTTAAGTCTTCTCTTTTGTTTTTAGTCCATTGAGTTAAAATTTTCCAATTTTGTTAATCTTTTTAAAGAAACAACCTTTGGTTTCATTGACTGCTTTTCTATTCACTTTCACTGATTGTTTTTCTATTCTCCTTTTTATCTCAGGGTTAATCTTTATTGATTCCTTACTTCTACTAGCTTTGAGTTTAGTTTGTCATTCCTTATCTAGTTCCTTAAGGTATTAGTTTTGTTATTGACTTGAGGTTTTCCTTCTTTTTTAACGTACCCTTTATAACATATAAATTTCCCTCTGAGCACTGCTTCTGCTGCAACCCATACATTTTTGTATATTTTATTCTCATTTTTACTAATGTTAGGGTATTGTATGTTCTAATTTCCACTGTGATTTTATCTTTGATTCACTGTTGTTTAAGAACATACAGTGTAATTTCTACATATTTGTGAGTTTTCCAGGGTTTCTTCTATCATAGATTCCTAGCTCAATTCTATGGGAGACAGAGAAGATACTTCGAATGATTTCAAACTTTTTAAAATTTACTGAGACTTGTTTTATAGCCTAACATACGGTCTATCCTGGAGAATGTTCTATGTGTATTTGAGATGAAAGTACAGTCTGTTTTTGTTGGGTACAGTGCTCTATTTACTTCAGTTAAGTCTAGTTGTTAATAGCACCCAAGAGTAGTGTATTATATGATCAAATCCCTCTCTTTTATTTCTGGTACTGGCAATCGAACTCAGGACTTCGCGCTTGCCAGGCAGGTGCTTGTGCCGCTGACCTATGTATCTGGCCCCAATTCCCATTTTTAACATGTCGCCCTGTCTACTACTTGGAGAACTGCCTGGAGGCAGGAAGACAGTGAGCAGTCTTCTATCCTAAGCTGGTCCCAAGTAAATGAAAACTTACAAACCACAACTCTCTCACATCGACTTGAGAATTTTGGGAGATGGACATTTCTCTGAAGAAAGGCTGCCACACAGGCTATTTTTTATGACATAGTCAGATGGCTCTAATCTTCCTATTCATTACAACAACTGCCTGAATGCTTCTTCCCACACATTTGTTTGTGCTTCCAAAAGCCAAAGAGAGGAATCTGAGCTTTTCTCTCTGATATGCACCATATGCTACTTTGAGCTGTGCCCGAATGTCTGAATCTGTCCTTTGTCTTTACCCAGAAGCTACCCCTAGAGAACACAAGCTATGTGCTACACATGCCTGAAGCTGTTCTCTAAGAAAAGTCCAGGCTACCAGTCTGCAGGACTGGTCAGTTGAGGTAGCTATGAGAGCGCTACTACAAAAACAATGCAAAGAAATGGGGCTTGGATTGCAGATGGATTTCATATTCAAGTTGATCTTGCATCTGAGACCTCATCTAGGGACAAAAGATTAGTATTTTCTGGGAATCTCCCTGACAAAGTTGAAGAAACTGCAGTGGACGAACATTTTCTGGGCTGTGGCAGTACTGTGGCAGTGAGGATTGTGAAGGACCTAGTTACAGGATATTTGGAGTGTACAAAAGGATTTGGCCATGTGCTCTTTGAGAACACAAACACTGTTCATCTCATTCTGAAATTAAATAATCCTGGGCTAATGGGAAGAAAACTCAGAGTCATGTGCTCTGCTAATAAGAAAAATTAAAACAATAAAATTTAAATTCAGGTTTGAAGAATATCAGTAAATCTAAGCAGAGGCTTAATTTTGCTTCCAAAGATGCGGACACTCTAAAAGTGTATTTATTAAAGAAAAGGCTGTCCTTGTTAAGAAAAAAGGACACAAAAGAAGGGGGCAAAGTAAAAATCTGAGAAAACAGAAGTAACCATCTGAAAGCTGCTTGCTTTTTTTCCCCATGAGGTCTGCCAATTTAAGTGTAGTGAACTCATGGATGCAGCATCATGATTTTTAATTAATTGTGTGTGTGAAAGGTGCAGATTTGTACAATCTTATTCCCACTGTAATCCCTTCAAAGCATTTGTTTATTAATGTAAGCAGATAAATTACCAAAGACCAAGTGCTATGACTGATGGTATAAGAGATTATTTTATTAGGCCTGGGTCAACATTTATGATTTTAATGATTATTATTTGACTCTGTTAGAAATAGGTAATTAGTGCTTCAGATGGTTATTTCAAGAATATTTTGGGCTGGGGATATAGCTCAGTGGCACAGTGCTTGCCTGGCAAGCTCAAGGTCCTCAGTTCAACTTCTAGCACCAAAAAAAAAATTTTTTTTGTTGTTGCTGGAGATAAGATTAATAATTTAAAGAAAAACAAACAATAAATGTTATTACTTATTATACATAGAAAAAGTAGCCTTAATAATCTGCAAGTGTGAATACTGATTTTAAGTCTAATAATACCTAAGAAAGATTTGAGAACTATTACATAATACATACTCATTTTTTTTCTTTCACACTTGTGATAAGTGGAGTTCTGGGTTTTTCTTTTACTCCATCAATTAATAATAACTAATCAATAAAAATGTAAAATGAAAAAAAGAGGGAGCTCTCCTCAGAAACTACATAGATGCTGGTACCATCCCCCATTCTTTATCAACTACCCTATCCTGTGGGTTTTGTTAGAGTAAAAAAAAAATGGAATAAAATAGGACTATACTCCAAATGAACAAGACAGGAAAAACCAAGGTTATAATTGTAAGTGATGAATGCCCTTCCATGAACATTGTGTAGCTAGCACTAGGAGAGATGCCTCTCCCCAACATAGGGAGACAGGATGCGGGGCGTGGTGACTGAGCGTCCAGCTTTATGATAGAGATCCTTCCACAGGCTCCAGGAGTCACTTTCTCCTCACCCAGGCTGTCAGGAGACCCAGGGACAGTCCTGGAGAGCAGGACTGTGCTTCCTTCTCAGCAGGAACCCTAATTCCCCAGAAATATGCACAAACTGCAGAAACACACATCATTTTACTTTTAACCCCAAAAGGATCACAGCTGCCTGTCCCTGCTCTTGCTCACCAACAGAAACATCTGCTATGGCTCTCGGTGTGCAAGATAGTGGGGAGGCATATATTCTCACATGCTATTAATGGTACTCAGAATACAATCCCAGTGAAAGGCAGGTTGGTGGTACATGATGGAATAACATCATACACTCCATTGATCCAGCAACCTGGTATACTTACATTTGTGTATTTATAAGTATGCACATGTGAAATATTTGCAAATTTACTTCTTGCAGCATAATGTGTCATAACAAAATAAGGAAACAACCTAAATGTTTACCAATGGACTCCTGGCTAAATAAACTATGCTACATTTACACAATGTAGCACCATATTGTAAAAACAAAGAGGAAAATTTTGTGTAATGATGGGGAAGTTTTTAAAAGATACACTGCTCAACAGATTTTGCAAATTGGAGGGGGACCAAGAGAGAAGTTGGAAGGGAGTGAAGGCAAGGGGAAATAAAAAGAATTATGATGTATCATGCATATATGTCAACTCCCTCATAAGGAATGTAATCATTCTATACTACAAACATGTTCTGTACTAATAAAAATCTTTAATTTAAAAACCCACAAGGTAAAATACTCCATTATTTTAAAGTAAGTAGCTATTTGGATATATGGCATTGGTACCTCTGGTCACCTCAGAGTGAGAGAACTGTGTGTGGCTGAGGACAGGTGTCAGACAGACTTTACTCATGTGTTTTTGGAGCTGCTGGTTTACAAAGCATATAAAACACTTTCAAATTTCACTTAGAACATCTGAGTTGGCATCCCATCCCAGCAATAGCCCCAGCTAAACAACTTTCAGTCTTTACAGTGGGAACACTGGAAACAAACCTGGCGCAAGGCACAGGCACAGGATCCTGCATACCCACTCCAGACAGCTACTTCTAGGCCTGAGCTACTGAAGCATCTGCTGAAATCCCAGCACCCAGACTTGCCCGAAGGCACAGACAGCCCTGCACTGCAAATGCTTTCATTCCAAGGACTGCCAGCACTGCTGTCTACCCTGGTAGAGCAGCTGAGCATTTCACTGCTGAGAACACCAGGAGCTAGGTAAAAAGGCCACACATCCACCTTGTCCTTCCTTCTGAGTTGGTACAGCCTAGCCGGGGCATCTTGGTCACCAATGCTATGCAAGTACTGTTAATTCCCACTCCTCCAGACCCATGATACCATGTGTACACATCTACTGTTATTAAGTGCTCCCTACCTGAATGGGTGTCCATCATGCGAACAGCCTTGGCCTTAGCCAGCTCCAGGGCAGTGATCCACTGCTGCCGGTCCACCTCTGAGCTGCCCTTGAGGTGGTAGTTCCTTGCTCCACTGGTCAGCAAGATACCACAAGAATCTTCCATGCCAATGTGCACAGTGGCCAGGTTGATGGTTCCACGGCAGGTGTGGGCCATTTCACCCTGGTTTCTGTCAGATAAAAAAGAAAGTATGAGGGTAACCTTTCAGATTCAATAGCTTCATACTAGAAGAAATCACACTAAAGAAATCCTCAAGAAAATTCTCAGAATTTCAAATGTAAGAGCTGAAAAAGGCCCCTTTACAGCCAATGAATGAGATAACGCCTGAGGCATGGCTTGGTTCAGGACTCTGGGGCCATGAATGCCTGCCATGAGGATAGTAATAGAAGCCAAAGTTCTTCATTAGTGTCATGTATAGGGCATGCCTGCTACAGTCTGACCTCCAAAGACACCGTAAAATGAAGAGTGACTTCCTAGGCTCCTAAAAGGGACAGCAGGCCTCAGATTCTATGCCTGACTCCACCAAGTCTCAAAACCACACAAGAGTAGGGTGGGATCCTTCCACTAAAACTGAGATTGGAGGCCCAGAGCCCACGGGGATAGACTTAGAGGCACCTCCTGCTTGAAGCAACCTGATAACAGTATAGTCCCTGACACTGTCTTTCTGTTACAACATGAGATTCACAGAACAAATATGTCACCATTCTCTGGCCCCATGATGAATGAATAGAGAGCACTGGTTGGGCTACCATAACGCTACCTTGTTACAAGGGACCAATGCCTCTGCTAGTTACAGGATTCTGAAGCTAATGATATTAATGTAAGGGGAGGTGACTAAAGTGTGTGCCATTTACAACTGTAACTAACATCTAAAAACTGAGATCCAACTATAATGATTGGATTTACTTTTCCCTTAGACACTCAAAGGAAATTAAGACACCCCTCAGTCCAGTGCCACCTTTCTCCCCACAGAGGATGCTGGAAAAAGAAGGGCAATGAAACAGTATCTAATGCTGCCATAGCAGCAGCTCTTTTGACAATTTTCTGCTGCCCTTAAAAGCTTGCTATTTTCTATGGCTGCTCAGGGTATATCATCTTCTTGACTTTTCTATTACTCTAAAGTCAAATGACTTGATGCTCACTAAGACATTCATCTTGTAGCTAAACAGTAGTTTCCTTTTTGACTCCCTCTTCTATGGTAATATTCATTAGAGAAAATAATGTATAGCAAAAGAATATCCCAGCTTGTAAGTGCTAGCACCTTTTAAAGGAAAGAAACTCCAACTTACAAAACTGTCCATTCTGGACATGCCTGTTGAAGAACTGACATTTTCCATTTAAGATTTTAAGCTAGAGAATATAAAGGTGTTGAATAGTATAGTATACTAAGCATAAATAACATTATGGCTTAGCTCAAAAACAAGAGGCTCATGGACCGTGTTCTAGGTAGGAAAAATAGCAGAAGCAAAGGCCATGAGGAAAAGAGTTTATACCTTTTGAAGAACATAGAAGATTCTGTGGCAGGAATATTGAGAACAAGGGGGTAGACAAGAAAAACAAAGCTAAGAATGAGACTGGGACCAAATGCAGTATCTGACAGGATATATTAAAAGTTAGGCTCCTATATTACAACTAAAATAGTAAACCTCGATGGCATAACGTTATTTTTGTTTTGTTTTTGAGACAAGGTCTCCCTGTGTAGTTCAGATTGGACTTGAACTTACTATATAGCCCAGGGTGGCCTAGAACACATGGCAATCCTCCTGTCTCAGCTTCCTAAGTGCTGGAATTACAGGAGCAGCCACCACAATATAGGCTATATTAGAAATAGGCCTAATATTAGAAAAGCACAGATGGTCAAGATTTCCAGATGTTTCTCTGAGAACATAAGGAACAGTGCCTTCTTTTTTGTGAGAAATGGAAGCCAGCCACTGTGTAAAATCAGGGACAGGCTAGAAGTTATCCAGTGGGCACTGTGTTAGATTACAACTCATCAACTAGAAAAATAACCAAGAGTTCATGTTCACATAACAAAATTTTCACCCACGAACTACAAGCAACAGCTTGAAACTCAAAGGACTTGGCAGAGCTTTATATCCACCTGGAGGAGCCTATTCTATAACCGATAACCCCTGACCTACCTCACCACTTCTTGCTAATACAGCTTATATACCACCATCTTCAGCAAACCAAATCATGGAAACAAAGTAAGCAGAAGTATATTACATAAAAATGTTAGGTCAAGGTATAGCCGATGGACTTCCGGGACAACATGGTGGATAGTTAACAGCAACTACTGGAGGCTCTCTGAAAGGCTCGGCTAAGAAATCAGGAATGATGCGGACTAAGGAGACATGAGCCGGTAGAGATATGCTCTGCTGAGTCAGGAACGAACTGGGCTGAGAGAAACCAACTTGGAATGCAGTCCTGGCGCTAAAATAGAAACAGAAAAGTCTCGGTGTGGAGGCTGGACCCCGCGCCATTGGAAACTGCGGTTTGGATTTCCCGCCGCTCGGCGGCTGACTGCCTCCACAGCGGCTCGGCAAGGAGAGATGCGCAGAAGCTCTGGGAACGGGAGTCTGCGAACGGAGTCGAAAACAGGACAGACAAGGAGGTGTACACTGACTGGTGGCGAGGTGAGTGAGAGAAACTGACACTCCACCACAGTTTGACTCCAGCGGAGGACTTTCTGGGCTCCGGCAGTCCTGTAAGAGCAGGGCGCGGTGGCGACTCCAGCCACACATTCCCCTCTCGGACGGGATTGGTGAAAAGTGCCTGGCCTGCGTGACGCTGCAGGCGGACTTGGTAGGCTGGCCTAACCCAGATCCCAGAGCCTGACGGTGGCCCGGAGGGGTGACTCCCACGTAGGCTGCCTAGTCCGTAACTCCCTGGTGCGCAGCGGTGGGTGGGAACACCTAGCCAGCGCAATTTGATCAGGCTGTGGCTGACAGGCAGGGAAGCTGGGCCTCCTATGTAAGCTTGCATTTTATAAGGAACAGAGAAAATGGGGAAGGGAAGCAACAAGAAAGGCTCCTCGGCCCCCAATTCTGAGAAACAGGCAATAGCGGACACCGCACCAATAGACATTAAGCGCCATATAGAGAGCCTCATAGACCAATTCCGGAATGAAGTTATCAACGACCTGAAGCTAGAAGTATGCAGAATAGTTAGAGAAATGCTAAGCACCACCCAGGAAAAAACAGACGGTGGAATGGAAGAACAGAAAAAGAGGGGAGAATTGTTTGATGGAGAAAACAGAGAAAGCATAGAATACGTGAAGCAGGTTCAAAGGGACTATCAAGAAATTAAGAAGTCTATCCAAGACTGGCATAACAGCTTGAAAGAAACTAAGGACAGACTATCTGAACTGGAGGGCAGACTTGTAATATGGGAGAATGAAATGAAAAACTTCTTAAAAATAGCAAAGAAACAAATAGCAATAATACAAAGACAAGAAGATGATAAGAGGAGCCATAACTTAAGGATTAAGAACATAAAAGAAGAAGTAGGGACACAAACAAGTGAACTACAAAAGCTACTCACAGAAATAATCCAGGAGAATTTTCCTAATTTAGCAAAAGGTAAAGATACTCAGATGTACGAGGCATACAGGACCCCAGCTACCTACAACCCTAACAGAGAAACACCCAGGCATATAATAATAAAAATTCCAGAAATTCAATACAAGAACAGAATATTAAAAGCTGTCAGAGACAAGAAACAGACCACTTACAAGGGAACACCCATCAGAATTACAGCAGATTTCTCTGCACAAACCATCAAATCACGAAGAGCATGGGGGGAAATAATTCAAGCTTTGAAAGATAATAATCTCCAGCCAAGATTGAGATATTCTGCACAACTGTCCCTGGAAATTGATGGAAAAACAAGGTGCTTTCAGGATAAAGAGGAACTGGGGGAATTTGCAACCACCAATTCAACCCTACAGAAAGTATTGCAGGATATTCTAAAAAAAAAGAAAAATACAAAGAACCCAGAAATGGTGGCGGGAGGCCACAACGAATGGAGCAGAGAACAAAATGAAGAAGACAAACTGACAGCTACTGACAGAAAAAGAGCTCAACAGAAATGAGACAGAGAAGATTGGATGATAGGAACAGCTATTTTAGAGAAAATGACATCTTAATAGGTAATACTGATTTAGTATCATCTTGTTTTGAAGTCTCATCTAGCTTTTGTTCTTCTGTCCCCAATGGTCTAAACAGGTTGTATCTTATTGGATTTTATTATGTATGATAGTATAAGCAAAAACCTTTTAAAGATAAGGAGATTATACAGAAACCATTGTTCATTTTCTGTTAGTCGATTCTAAATACTCTGTAATGCTGTCATTCTCTTAAATGGTTTTACATTGTTTTGATATACTTAATGCTACAGTATATGAAGTTGTACTCAAGGACTTCAAGGAAAGAGTCAATATGGTAACTATTTTTAGGTCGGAATTATCTGGTGGTGAAACACTATTCTGCTTAAATGGTTATGTTTTGATCTGCGCTGTTTTGCTGTTATGCCCTCTTTTTTCTCAATCTCCACTCTATTATTTACTTTTTTATTTTTATCCGTTTAATTAAAGGGAAAAAATAAGAGGATATAACATAGTAACCCACTTTGACTTTCTATTATCTCGATTTGAAGCCCTGTATTACTCTCACCATCTGGTTTTTGACTGATGTTCCCCTATTCTGTTTTGATGGATAGTATCAGGTTCAAAAGTTTAGGCATCAGCTGAGAAGATAATGAGATTCATTATAATGCCCATTCTTGTTGACTTTTATCTACTTTTGAAGACCTACAATGTCTCCAATGTTTTGGTTTTGTCGGTTTTGTTCTTTACTATTTTGTTCAATTGTATTATAACTAATGATATAGGCAATTCTATTAGAGATAGCGGGAGGCATATGGTAACCATTGATGATCACCTTGTATTATGTTTTTACATTATCTATTATGTCCACCCTTTTGACTTGACCGATTCTGTCCTGTTATGTCTCATTTGGTTTTACTCTCTTCCAAAAAGCAATAAGAACCGTGGGAGCAATGAAACCCAAAATGTGTAATAGTCATTGTACAAAAGAGAGGAAAAGAAAGTGCTCTAAACTATATAACTGCATGTATATTTAAGTGTATAAGATAGAAAATGATATCACA